CAAACAAACAGTTGAAAAAGTAGTTTTCTTAGCATGAAACCCAGTATGACACCGTAGGATTCAGGTAACACAGACGAGGTGTCAACAGTGAAATAACAGCCCTTCAAATTTGGAGTCTAAAGTTCAAAGGACTGAATTCTTCAATAAAAGTGTCTGCTGAGGTTTTACATTTTCGTAGGCTCCTGGGGTAGACCCTCGATTATGGTGTGACTCCACCAACAGGAAGACTAGTTTTGTGTAGTTTTCTTTTAGATTTCCTGCAAATGTTATCTAATTAGTTCATCTTCCAATGGCTACGAAGCGATATGTGGTACCGGAACCAAGATTTCGAAGTTGCTGTATAGTATTGAGATTTAACTGCTCACTGTGTTGTAGAATGCTTGTAAATGAGTACTAAGAACACTCAAAAACTAATTTTCGGATATTTTTTGCAATGTTCTGGGGCAACACCTGTCCTAGCTTAGATGCTGTGGAACCTTTATGTCAGAGGGGCTTCCTCTGCTGTGCTCCGGCTAAAAATCCCCTACTCCTACGATTCCCAACATAAGTCCATCAAAATCTACTGGTATACAGTACTTCAGGATTCACTAGGAAAATTGTTTTATCTCTTAGGGCTGGTTGTAGCGCTTATGTGAAGGCTTTCGCGGCTAGCCGGCGTGTTTTTTTTTTTGGAATAGCTTTTTTCCTTTCTATCTCTGTCGGTCTCCACATCGAGTTTTTTCGCTCGTATAAGTCGAAAAACGCTATCGGCTGTCCATGCTGGACATCACACCATCTGCGGTGCGGAATGACCCGTGTGTCGCCCTGCGGTGCTATCTATGGCCGATTCCAGCGCTCTTGGCGAAAATGGCGACCTCGTCCGGGTTTTTAGACCGCTTCCCTTTCGCCATTTATGCGATCTCGTTCGTATAGGATCTTTCGTATTCATATATTACTATTGCTTAGCTGTTGCCTTGTTTCATAATTCTTCATATGATCTCATAACTGTGAAAGATCCAAACCAGCTCTTCTTGTCTTTTTGCATCAATTAAAGAATTTTTGAACAGTTGCGTGCTGATTACACTGATTCATCGTATAAAAACAGGATTTTTGGTTGTGCAATGGGCTACACTGGTTCTTTTTCCGTGTTTTATTCCCATTAGAACTTCTTGTGGCAGTCTTCTTTTTTCACATCAAGAACTTCATTCTAGTTCATAATAGGACCTCTTCGGTAATGGATTCGCAGACATGTTCTAATCAGCCAAATTAGAGTTGTTCAAGGTACATTGGGTTGATTGCGCCTAAGGTAGTGGTCCCTTTGACATGCTGTACCAACATCTTTATGTAAGGGAGCCCCAACATGTTGGTATTTTTTTAATGAATTATGCCTCAGGGCAAAATCTAATGAACGTCCTCCAACAGAATGAGAACGATTTCTTTCTTGCTTTCGATCCATCGCTCAAAAGCGTTCGTATTTTTTTTGTTCAAAACTTTGATACACGGAGCTGTTGATATAGAGCTTCGTTACTTTTCCTCTTCATAAAGTTAGTTCTCATATGCAAAACCTACTTGAACAGACCTTACTGAATTTCACAACGATGAAGTCTCAGAGAACGGGTGGGGATAGCGCTCTTCTTCGGGTGACTAACGATTCTCACTTCGCAACTCAGACATCAAGTATCATCTTCACCTTCGTTCGCGAAACTGTGGGTATCAGCCCGGTCATTATAAAAGGCCTATTTGTATTGGGATGCATAGCCCTCTTTCTCCTAAGAGTGAATACAGATCTTTTCCTATATGGCAAAGGACTCCCTTACACCGTGATGTGGTACAGCAGTCTAAGCCTAACTTTTTACAACCCGGTGCCGTTACCAACTAACATAAGTCTCTCATTCTTGGTCAAAAAAAAAACGGCGCTAAAAGCGATTCTATCATTCGTGGACGATCATGGTTCACTAATTATGAATGTTCGCAACAGTTGACGCCGAGTGGTCGCAATTTGCTCATATACAGAAGGACAACATTAATCTATTGAGAAGATTGTTTAGATAATAAAAAGAGCAAAAGAGAGCGTCAAGAATGAGAAGTTCGCTGGGTTTGTGCGTTGTAAATCACCTGGGCAAAAGTCCAGGTTTGTGAGGAGGTGGAATTCGAACGCCTCCTGTTTCAAGAGTTTCATTTTTGTGCAGAATGGGTAAATTAAATATACCAAAATATAAAAAGGATGGCCTAAAGTTGCAATCCTTAATAGTTTGGTAGAACGTGCCTCTAGAATACATAGTGATGCTCTATAAAGTTAAAATTGGCCTGCAATGTCTAATAATTTTAGCTAAATGCTCATGAACAGGTACCTATTAGCGCGAGTTCCTTCTTATCAGATTCTTTGTGACCTTTAGAGTATCAAAGACAACATCCACCAGAAAAGGGAAACACTAAGACATCTCGGTTAGTAACTATATGATTTGCTTTGAGTTGGTCTTTTGTTAACTGCTGTTGTTTCGCAGCAGTACGTGATCCGAGAGTCTCATAAGGTTGCAAGACATGGACAAAACTTCGCACTAATTTAGATATATAATTTAATTTATATAATTTGCACTAACATTTGGTGTCATAGTCGTGTGCTTAACGGTAGCGCTTGACACCATGACATTTAAGGCGAATAGCTATAAGAATTGATGTACTGGAACTACCCCAACCATTTGAAAACTTTCCACCCTCTTTGCTCAGCACATTTCGGTTGTTCAGAAAGGAAAGCAGCTTCCCTTCAGTTAGAAAGTTTTTGGAAGCACTAACCAGTGACGTGAGATATCGGTTTGTCGCTGGCACACGACAAAATACAAAAAAATGTTTGAAGAAATGAAGAACGAGGAATGGAGAAGACGACGTGGACCCGAAAGCCTAGGTGTTGTCCAAAGCCGCGTAATAAACAACCCGAGGAGCAATCTGGCCTTGCAGATGGATTCAGACCCGCCTTCCGATCACAATCCATAGCTCCCACTCTGAAATATACATTGGAAGGGTGGAAGTGCAGGGAAACATTGAGCAATAGGTGACGGTTGGTTGTGCTCTTAATTTTAATGAGAAACGGACCATTTGAACCGAGGCTGTTTTCTGGTGACTGCATCGGAAAAGGTCTTTGTCTCCTAATTTCATTCCCTATCTCCCGTCAACTAACAGGTGGGAAGTAAGGATTTCCTTGAGGGTTAAAAAGTTGTGAAACGTCTTTGTCTGGCTTCATTGTCTTATATTCAACGTCTATTACATATTCTTCATAACTTTTGTTTGTTTTGTATTTCCGTAGTTTTCGAGTGTTACCGAAATTGTTCGCGAATGTTATTTGCGACTTTCAGATTGATTTCAAAAATGACCGTGAGGAAAATAAACTTTGGAGCCGGCCCGGCAAAGATCCCAGAAGAGGTCAGTCTGTAGCAAAGGGATCTGCTGTGCGAACAGCCATAGGTTTTCATTTCAGGTTCTATTGAAGGCACGAGACGAACTGACCAATTTCAATGGGACCGGCATCAGTATACTTGGTGAGAGGCTTGACTGCACATCTTTGACCCTCATCACTGCGTACCCTTTTCAGAAATGTCTCACCGTTCAAAGGAATTCGCGGCGGTGCTTCAAGAAACCAAACAACTTCTTAGACAGCTGATGTGAGTTGCTCTCCTTTCTTTTCGAGATCTGGCTTTGATCCACGTGAATTCCTATATTTCTGACGTGATGGTCCAGAATTAGTAGTATAAACCGGGTAGAGGGGACCTGTCGTGATGGTGGTGATTCTGGATGAAATCTCAGCGTCTGTTTGGGATCAAAGACAACACTAAAAATAAAGTTCTTTGAAATCGAAGCTCAACCAGAAAACCATATTCAAAAGCAAGAGTATTATTTATTTGCAGGGGAGTTCCTGAGAATTATGAGATTCTCTTCATGCAAGGAGGTGGTACCGGACAGTTTGCAGCAGTTCCGATGAACCTCAAGGTAAGATAATGAGAATCAGATGAAATGGAAAGTAGAATCGGATAAGTGAATCTTACTTGAGTCAGCTATACTCCCAAAAAGCAGAAGCGATTCAAGCTATCAAGAGCTTCTTTTGCATAGTTCTCCGAAAGTCCAACCAGCTGAAAGAAATCGAGGTGATCTTATGAGTTTTTAGGGCGACCACGAGTTCGCCGACTACATCGTGACAGGTGCTTGGTCGTGCAAAGCCGCTGATGAAGCACGCAAATACATACGAGTGAAAAAGGTGAAGGATAAGATTTTCAGCGCTTAGTTTAAGGCACAGTTCACGATGAAAATGATCCTTTGGGATTCCCCCATAGGATGAGTTTGAGGCCCCTCTTACACCATATCTAGCGATATCATGTCGGAAAACAGCCTAGTTAGGGCGTTATAAAGGTTCAAATATCGGTTCGCGTGTATCCTCGGACGAGTTTCACCGGCATTGTAGAGGCTGCACAGATTACAAAGGGACCCGTTTAGGAAGTTCAAACAACTTGTCATGATCCACAGCGGCAGTGAAAGGCAGTTCTGTACAGTTCTGGCTTGATGTAATGAGGTCTTTGTGAAATTGTAACAATCGAAATCTCATCCGAATACTTCTCCCGTGTAATTTTCGTCAAGGTAATCTAGTCCAACCTCCATTTTCCCTGCTTTTGAGGAGCCCCGTTTTTTCTCAAAATCGGCGAATTTCTCGCTTTCTTCACTACCAATGAACTATTCCCAACCTATACTTCCGCTTTTCGATTAAAAGGGGTTTGAAAAGGGTTAAAGTTATCGCGAACTGTGCCTTTAGACACCAACGGGTTGCTTTTTTCGCATAATTCATCCTTCCTCTCTGTAATTAGCTGAACTAATCTCTGGTGACTCTCCAAGTTTATTCCAAAGCCAATTCGTTTAGGTTTTCACCCCAAGCAAACCCTATACAACAATTCCAGATCAGAAACTTTGGGACCACGATAAGGTGAGCTCGCCAACTCAGCTTCAACGGACAGAAAGCTCTCAAAATGTCTGATTTTCAGAATGCTGCGTATTTGTACTATTGTGCCAACGAGACTGTTCACGGCATCGAATTTCACAAGCCTCCTCATTCAGTTCATGGAGTTCCTTTGGTAGCCGACATCTCGTCCAACTTCCTTTCACGTCCATTCGATTTCACAAACGTAAGAGCTTTTCATTTGATGATTCGAAAATTTTCCACTGCAGAATATTGTTTATATTTCAGCACGGTGTCGTGTTTGGAGGAACACAGAAAAATCTCGGAGCAGCTGGTCTCACAATTGTGATCGTTCGGAAGGACCTTATTGGAAAGGTATGAAGTTGTGCCTGCACCAAATCAACGATGAGTAGAAAGGTTTCTAATGGTCTAAAGCTTTTAGCAACAACAACTAACCCCAGCAATTCTCAGTTACAAGGAAATGCATGACAACGACAGCCTCTACAACACTCCAGCTGTTTACGGGTAAGTATTAGGAGCATGTCGGTAACTTCATTCAAGTTTTAGCAGGGCCAACAGACCTGGGAACCACAAACGTTAGAACCCCTTTCGAGTCAATTCTTTCTTGAGCGAGGGAATGCTGAGAGCTTTTAATGATGATCTAACGCGACGCGATAATGAAGCTAACCTTTGGTGTCTATATTCGAAGAGTATATTTTGTTTTAGATCAATTAAAAATACTGCTACTACTACTGTACTTACAGTACCCCGAGGAGATCGCTTAAATTTGCAGCCCAACCTCATAACTGATTTTCATTACTGATGGAATTGATAGGTGAACGGATGAGCATTTAAATAAGTATAAAGAACAAAGAACGAAGTTTTCGGACGATAATCAATTCCGGCTGTAGTATACACCCCAGAATTCGGCTTCCATTCAGAATCGTAGTGGCGTAGTGAGTCCGTATGTGACCCATACATACAATGACCGGTGGCCAGCCGATGAACAAGTCTACAATCCTCCTAGAGGATTCTTGTACCAACTAACCAACCCCAAAGGGATGAAGGCTCGGTTGACCTAGGAGGGGGAAAATATAGTGAGTGTTGAAGTGATAATTACCACTGTTAAGCATGTACATCACGAATTTGGTGCTGAAGTGGATTCGCGACATCGGTGGAGTGGATGCGATCTTTGAAATGAACAAAGTCAGTGTCGTCTTCTGATTGTTGGGACTGCGACTCTATAACAATTTTTCTTTCAGAAGAAGGCTGGTATGCTTTACGATGTCATTGATAACTCCAACGGCTTCTACAGTTGCCCTGTGGACAAGGCATGCCGCAGTTACATGAACATCTGTTTCCGTGTCCAACAGGGAAATGATGCCGCAGAGGCTGAGTTCCTAAAAGGAGCTGCTGATCGGGGAATGATCTCGTTGAAAGGGCACAGGCGAGCTGTCTTACCTTCAGCCTGTATCGTCCATGAGTTATGTTCTGCTATGTTTCAGGTCAGTGGGCGGTATCCGTGCATCTCTTTACAATGCGGTCACGGTCGAAGAAACAGCGCTCCTTGTTGATTGGATGCGAGAATTCATGGCCTCGCAAGCTGCTTGAATCATCTGCTTCCATGGTTTCCACCCCGATCCCTGCCTTTTGTTTACGATTGCTGTGATACAGAACAAATTATTTTCCCAACTAATTATTGCCGTTAATTGCCATATTAATTTGTCTCTTCAGTGTTTGAGAAGTGTCACATTCACGAAGTCCGCCTGTAACTATCACTATTTGCTTATTTTTAATTTTTTTATTAATTATGCATCTGAAGTGCTATGTTATGATTGTAATATATAACCGTATTATCGTATTGTGCTATTTTAATTGGATATATTGTGTGGCATTGAAATGATGGTGTTGCTTGGTAATCAACACTCTTCAAAGAGTGTACTCTTCAAATGTTTTATAACTGCTTTTAATTTGTTTAATGAATTTTTAAGTTCTACGGGAATAAAATGTTGATAATGTGTTCTGGAATTTTGCATGAGCAATGGAACAGATTCAGTTGATGGATTCTTCTCAAAAAGAAGTTAGCACACTAACAGCAGGGAATGGGGTATGAATTTGTTAAGACACGAACTCCCTTGCTCTCAAGTCAGCAGAAAACGACAAGTGTTATTTTTCTTCGACGGAGCGATTCTCTCTCCACTCATTCAAATTCATTGTCAGTTTCTTCCTTTTGGCTGGCTTCCATTGAAATAAGAAAGGTTTAAAAATTCAAAAGTTTACTCAAAGAAGGATATCGAGTGAACCGGATCGAACGATTTCACCGTTAGAAACTAGCCATTGCGTGTAGTATCCATCAGTAGGAGAGCGCGTCTCGTTGTTAGTACGGAACCCAGTTAATATTCATATCAAAAATCTCAAAAAAAAAATTCAGGAGGTTAAAAGAACACAAGACACGATGCGAGAGCTACCGAGAGATAAGCGTCCTCTGTTAGGTTTGAATGCGTCAATATGATTCGTTGGCTCTTGGGGGAATAAATGCTTGAACTTTCCTGTAGTTAGAAAGCTAACAGGTAGAACAGAGTTTCATGTCTATGCAGTTTCAAAGAGGTAACAGAAATATAGAAGACTTCCGAGAAATATGAAGAACTGTTGCTTCCGAGCCACGTGCTGCCCGGCTCAAAATCAGGTGAACCTATTGAGTCAAGATTGCAGCAAGCATTCGTCAACTCCACTATTTGGCAGGCGGAAAGAATGTTTCCATCGTTGTTCACTTCAATGACCGGAAAGACGTGGGGGCGTGGTTGTTCTGGTGCCCGTAGGCGGCTATAGCTGCGGCAGTGGCTGCGGCAGCCAGCCAGAGCCAATCGAGCTCACCTCACCTAACAGCAGCCATCATACTGCAGTATAGATTTCTTGTTATAGTTCATATAGTGTAAGTTGTTTCCTTTTGAACCCACGAAGATAGGCTTTTTGGTCAGAAGTAACACTTAAATTGACTCACTGTTGCAAGGAACTGCGATTGAAGTAATCTGTCACAGAATTTCAGGTTCTTACCGCTAGTGATGGAAGAAACAGAACGACCTCCAGGGATACTTGCCAACGCACTCTGGGAAATACGTACGAAGCAGAATGGCATGGTAAGTGAAGTGATGCTCTTGGTGAGGTTTTGTTTTCAAGCTTCCACAGGAAACACCTCCATACGCTCGCCGTAGAGCACGATCAGTAGAGTCAAAACGAGGTATTCTGGCTGTAGCACTCAAGGAAATGAGAGTAGCACTCAAGGAATTGGAAGCTGACAGGTTGGTCCTCCGTTCAATTCATAAACAGTTTTTGGATGTACCTGGGCTCATTTAGAACTGAAGAGAGCACCCGTTCTGGTATTCTTGGCACAGCATTGGAACAAATGAAGTCGATTCCATACGAAAAAGCTGTAAGAATAGGTTTTTCATGGTTGAGATTACGGTAATAATTTTGAAATGCTCTTTCAGCGTGTAGACGAATTCATTCGTCCGAAATCGGCAAACAACTACAAGGGAATGATCGGCCTGCTCCTTGAGAACAAGGATGAAGCTGAACTGGAAAAATTGGGCATGAAGGTGAATTGGATGACCGTGCTCCGAGGGCATCAGTCTGAGTAGTCCAAATTTGACGATTTCAGGATTTGATGGATACCAAGCCTCGACAAAGTTCGGTGAATACATCGCAGAAGGCTTCTTCAGATGAGGGAGTACCATCGCCCCAAGGGCCAGATGATGTTTCGACACCTCCAAAGAAAGTCTTCATCCCGAAGATGAAATCCAGGGAAAGCTCTTCGAGCAACGAAGATTCCAAGGACCATGCTTCCGGAGAAACAAAGGTGCTCAGGGCTCTCACCCCACAATTATTCTTTGCTGTTGATGCCATTTAAATGTTCAGACGGCTCTTGTGCACGGTTCGTTGAGGGATGAAGGACGCTCGTTACCAACAAAGACCGCTCCTGATGACAGAAGATTCTCCATTGCCGAGAGTGTAAGAAGCGAAAAAGCGAATATGGAACGTCGAGACACACAGATCGACCTCTCTCTGGCTGATTTTCAGACAAAGGTTAGCAATGCTAACATTTTACCCTTACCAGCCCACTGGGTTCGACTTGACTATGACTTGAAGGGTGCTCAAAAAGGTTGGTTCCTGAATTTTTGCAAGTAGGTGTCATAGCTGAGTATCTACTCCAAAAGACCACAGATGGGGCACTTTTGTTCCCTTCTGAAAGTCAAAATAGACATCGTTTCAAGCAGATCTTCTATAATTTTCTTTCTAAAACAAGACTGTAAAGTAATTTTTTGTGATATTGAGGTCCTCTATATGGCGAAGCACGAGCAGTGGTCAACGATGGAAAGTGAGCTAGACACTGCGCAGCGGAGCGATTTTTCGATGTCTGATCAGGTAAGGACGTTCAGACGGGAAGTTGCCATGGCTTGCGTTTATTTTATCTTTGTTCTCTATGTTTTTTCTTTGAGGTTGATCGCTAGCCCTGAATATGGGTACCAAAGAGGACAAAAAATTAACCGCTTCCCATGCTATTGTTCCTTCGTCTTCGATGTTAAAGTGCAAGTCAAACGTAAATTCACGCTTTCTAAAGGCAATCGTAGTCAAGTTTGAGATGTAGGCAAGGGAACGCACCTGATATAGGGTCTTTTGTAGTTTCCTGTTTGAAAAATTGACTCTTCACTCCGGGAAAGATCCCCAACTATATAAATCCTTGATATTCTCCATCATGGTCAAATTTTTTAGGCAGTGCGCGGAGGCACAACGGAACTAAGCCAGATTCAAAACTCACATTATTAAGAGAAAGGAAATACAGGTCATAGGGAGGATCGCTGTGAAATCCGGGTCTTTGTAGGCAGTGATTATCACGAAGTGCAAAGTTATAATTTATATTATTCATAAAGCCACTGAGGTACCAACTCATGAGGAACGGAAGCGAAAATTCGGTCCGGCACTCGGCTCTAACAGTAACCCCCTGGCTTACCCCTCCACCCATCCCTTGCCCGAGGCCCCTTTTCGACGCGTCGTATATGTGACGGGTAAAAATTTGCGTATTAACACGTGCCGGATTACTGTAAGAACCGAGTGCCGGACTGAATTTTCGTTTCTGTCTCATGAGGAGACCTCCACTATAACAATTCAAGTACTAACAGAGGTTGCCGTGTTGAGGAAAGCTGAAAAAA